CTGTGGCTTGTTCGAGCTCACCATGAAGGACTCCTAACTGATCTTGAGACTGGAAGCAGTCAGCAAGACAGGGCAAATGCTGACTGTAGCAGACAGAGCCCTCTGTTTTGTCACTAATGGAGTGTCCATCGAAGCAGGAAAACTGCATGGGTCAAATTTTTGTCTGAGCAAAACTTGAGGATTTTGAGGTTTACCTTTTAGTGAACATTTGGTTGTGTTTTCTCTTGTTTTTGCCTTCTGTTTGTTTCCGAAATGTCACTCGTTGACACCACGGTCCAGTCGGCAGAAAGTTGTACCTTGGGAATGATTTGCCGGATTTCCTCAGAGCCTGAAACTGAAGGCTTAATTATTGCTCACCACTTTTGGGCGGCAGAGGGCCTCATTGTGCCAAGTCTGATACACACCGATTTTTTGGTGGACAATCCCGTGAAACTATTCATGAATTGACATTAATACCTCACAGCTGGTACGTGAGGTTGGGATAGGAATAGCTTAATAATCGATGAACTACTGTCTTTTAAGCAAGTAGTTCCTGCCAGTGAATACTAATGAGCTCCGTGTTCGTGAAGTACGAATTCCCTGTTCTCTTCTCCAGGTTTCACTCGAGCTGCAAAAGCATGAGTTTGTTTGGTAAGGTCTTGGCATATATCAGATCCTGTCCTGAATGTTTCCAACAAAAATATTTTGCATGGCTTCTTCTTTCATTGTACTTTCCCTTGATTTTTTCCTTTTTTGGAAATCATCACAGCATTTGCTGCATGCTCTCTGGAACGTGTCTTCATTCATTCTGACCGAGTCTGAGGGTTCGACTCGGACTCATCCAGAATGGCCACGACGTCAAACTTCTCAAAATGTACTCTTGGACCAGCAGAGCCAAACCATCCGAGTTCTCTCTCACCTTCCCACTTTCCAGTTGAATATTTTCCCTTTTTTTTGAGTATCCCTTTGGATTTGATGATGAGAGGCTGGCTGAGCTATGCACACTTCCTCAAAAACCCTCAATTTCTGATTAGGGTGCAACTGAACAAGTTCTAGTACGATAAACCTAGTGAATGTCTTTCCATCAAAAGTTGTATGCACCAAAAAGAACACGGACAGGCGAATTTGTACCTGGTTCAATCACAAAATCGGAGCCATAAGAGACACCATCCACACAAATTGGAATGCACATGTCAGAGTGACTTGGGATCAAAACTGGTTGGGTCACAAGTACACTTCTCAAGGGCACGAAAGAATCTGTCCCAACCTCACGTACTAGCTGTGAGGTATTAATGTCAATTCATGAATAGTTTCACGGGATTGTCCACCAAAAAATCAGTGTGTATTAGACATGGCACAATGAGGCCCTCTGCCGCCCAAAAGTGGTGAGCAATAATTAAGCCTTCAGTTTCAGGCTCTGAGGAAATCCGGCAAATCATTCCCAAGGTACAACTTTCTGCCGACTGGACCGTGGTGTCAACGAGTGACATTTCGGAAACAAACAGAAGGCAAAAACAAGAGAAAACACAACCAAATGTCCACTAAAAGGTAAACCTCAAAATCCTCAAGTTTTGCTCAGACAAAAATTTGTCAATGTTTCCAGCAAAAATATTTTGCATGGCTTCTTCTTTCATTGTACTTCCCCTTGATTTTTTCCTTTTTTGGAGATCATCACAGCATTTGCTTCATGCTCTCTGGAACGTGTCTTCATTCATTCTGACCGAGTCTGAGGGTTCAACTCGGGCTCTTCCAGAATGGCCACGACGTCAAACTTCTCAAAATGTACTCTTGGACCAGCAGAGCCAAACCATCCGAGTTCTCTCGCACCTTCCCACTTTCCAGTTGAATATTTTCCACCCACCTTCAGACCAGACAGTAAAAGACAATGAGGATCATGGTATTTGGAGTGGCCAGGTTATCTACTATTTTATTATTACAGGTAATTAAATTTCAGAGAAGTAACTTCAATGTCAATGGAGGAGTGAAGTCTGTGATTTCCTTCATTTCAGCCACTAGGAAAGGGTTGATGGGTTTTGTTGAGACCATCAGACTGAGGGACTTTCCAAACCATCAGCTGATTGACACTCATCTTTGACACCCTCACCACAGGTTGGTTGGTGTTCACGATTTTTCTTTCATACCATGTTGCATTCCCTTTTTATTAATTGGCCCATATGAATGTTTTTCATTGTCTAACCTATTGGGTCATTGACTTAGATCTTTCTATCAATTTTTTTTGGTTCCAGAAATATCAAAAAGTTTTGTGGGAAGACCTGTCTGGAAAGATTTTGACATACTGTGCTACCAAAAGGTTATGGTTTCTTTCTAAGATTTCCCATAGGGCACCCCTCACCTTTCCATTAATGATTTAATTTTGTGAAGGATGCACCAAAACTCATGGCAAACAGTTCCTTGTGAGATTGCGATGAGAATTTTGCAAGTATGACTCTTTGCATACTCATAAGAGGAAACATTGGTGATTTTGATGCAGTTGTTTAACCCCTTAAATGGACTCGCCGCATACGTGCGGTCTGGCACCTGCCATCTCTCAATGGACTCACTGCACACATGTGTTCGCGGGTTTCTTCTGGCTGGTTTACAATGGATTCGCCGCATATTTGCGGTCAATTTTGCCGTGATGGGACTTGTTGAAATATCTGCCGATAGATGGCAGAAGCTTTTCTACTATGAGCAGTAATTACTGGTATTATCGGTGGATTATTAGGATCCCCCCGTGAAACACTGTTTTTTCCATCAATTGCAGGTTCCTCATTTGATAAAAAAAATGACTGACATTATGAACAAGGGATTGTAATGTTTCAGTGGATATCTACACGGTCTTACAATACACAATAGGCCTGCTGTGAAATTTTGAATGTCTATCTAACATAATTATGGTAAAATTCGTGAAAAGGGGAATACAAGACAAAGCAAGTTTCTGGTGCAACAGATGGCCCTGAGACCCATACATATGCAGTTACTTGCATATCAATAATTTTATAATACACGAAAATACATAAATAATAAATAAATATTACAATATATATCACATGTTTAATTATTCATTATATATAATAATGCAATGATAACATGTCATTCTATAATTATTTAATAATTATTTATTATAAAAATATGTAAATTATTTGAATTTTTTAATTTAAAAATTCTACATGTAATGGACATCTTAGAAAATTCTACTTCACTTATCTATCCATTATAGTTAAATTTTTATGCTTAATTAAAGTCATTAGGGTCTAGCAAGCAAAAAACCAGAGAAAAAAGGTCCCATCACAGATCCATCTTTTGCAAACCAAAGTTCCCAGTTAAGGGGTTAACTTGTGCATGGATTGCTGTGTTGTAGTGATACTCATGGAGGTGGCCCAGCAGGTTCAGTTCAGACAAAAGAAGTGTGATTGAATCCCTTTCAACCCCTTCTCCTATGAATTTTTTTTTTAATGTTGCATACTCGTGATTAGAATATATTTACAAAAAATTGGCTAATTTAACTTAATTACAAATGTCTATAAATCAGGTATGTAATGGTTCCCAGGTAGCTGAAACCACACAGGCCAATCATGGCCCTAATAAGGCATCTTTGGCAAATGTCTGGCAATGGCATCCACACTTGGGCTTCATGAGGTGTAAAAGTCTGGCTTGCGAAACGATATTACTGCATCTGGCATCCTTTTGTGAGCCAGAGAAAGACCTTATCAACTAGACCAGTCACTGGGCAGCCACATTAGGGAAACATCAAGATGCCATATTACAGCCTTATTCATGTGGGGTTGAGGAGGTGTAGTTCAATTTCTCAATTAGCTGCATCGCAATCTTTCATTTCCCTGTACACTCAGCAACCTGATATTTAATCTACATGTAGATGATTCGTGTCAATACACGATCAGCATGAAATGGTATTGTTTTGTTCTCCCAATTGGTTCTTAGGACCGTCAAGGTCGGGTATGAATATTTGTCATTCAAGGGAAAATTTTCGCCTTCCATCACCCCCCATACTGAAATGAGCCAAAATGAAATAGTTTGACTTGAAAGTAGCACTTCTTTGCCATTTCCTGTCGGCCGTATGAACTACCGTCGTGAAACCGCCCAGCAGGCTTCTGGTACGGTGACAGAGGATCAGACAAACGAATGGTTGACCCTTGTTGAATGGAAGTACTGTCAAAATCTTCGTCATTCCTCGTCCCCTCCACTGCGGTCTGTCTGAGGCCTACCCTTTTCCTTAGGTCAGCCAAGTGTATCTGCGTTTATCATGTGCCTTAAACCTGAATACGATGGGTTAGTCTTCAAAACCTCTTAATCTGCTCTTCACGTCTTCAGCAAGTGAAGTTGCAAATTTCTATCTTTTTTTAGCTTTTCCAGGATCAACTCATTGCTTTCCACCAGTAAAAGTATATTTACTCCTATTCTCAGAAGAAGACGTCTTTGAGTTTACTTAAGACGCTTATGAGAAGATGTGTCTCATTTTAAAAAGAAGTGGGAAAATACTGGCTGATGCATGTGATGCATGATTCTTTACTGCATGCAACTTGACCCGTTAATCCTTCGGAGGAGAAAAGTATCTCCATGTCCTCATCTTGAAGTTCTCTTGGAGATATATTTGACTATTCGGTTATTAAAAACCTCGATTGAGCGGTTGTACCTAACTGCTTGAGAGATGCAGAAAATGTTATTCAATCAGTTTGAATGCATATTCCCACTCTTGTGGCAAAACAAATTACTCAAGATTCTGATAGGGATAGCGAATGAGACTTGTCATAAATAATTGCAAATATTTAGGAATTTCTGATGGCATAGAACCACTTCGATGTCAGCTTTCTTTTCATTTACTTCTCTTGCACAGGGTTTAGAGCACAGCAAATGCAATATGGAGTGTGAGTTCCTTGATACTTCCTCATCCCTCGTTTTAACAGAGTCGGCTGTGAAATGTTACCTAGCAACCCTGAAAGCCAAAACGATCTGGAAGCATAGGAGCACAAAGCCTATTTCTAAGTCAGTCTCCCTGTCAGAATTTTTTGATGCGTGTGTTCATGTACTATCATCAGGTCCGCCCAGAGAGTGGGGGCAATTGGAGCAATCTGCCTGGAGCCCCATGAATCAAGAGGGCCTCCAAAGGGCCTCAAGGGCTCTCCAGTTTAGTTTTGCCCCGGGCCCCTGGAAACCTCTGGGTGGCCCTGACTATCCTTGCTGTGAACCTTTACCTAATTTTATCCCTGTTCGGCTGTAGTTAGCCATTGCTCATTTTCCTGGCCTAGGTGTTGGCTTCAGCAAATTTAACGTTCTAGGGTGCCAGGGATGTACCGTGAGGGAGCTTCGGACCCTGCTTTAGCAGTACAGTCGCAGCTTTGCACCTGTGCACAATGGCATAGGCCATTTTGTGGTTAGCTGTTTCTCCTCTATGTAAAAATAAGATAGAGGAGAAACAGTAAAAATATGTAAAAATAAAAGTATGTAAAAATAATTTAACTTTGTATTCTTGTTGCCAAAGCTTCTGTGTGCTGATTCTGAAATGTAGACATCGTCCTCAACTGAACCCCCTCCCCAACTGGCTTGACTCCTTGATGTTTGCATCTCGCAGGACCTAGGCTGTTGTTTGGGTCTCTTTATGAGAACGCCAGAAATTTAAAGGCAAGGGAATATATATGAATTTTTGATGAGCAATTTGCTTTTAGACATGGGACTACAAAATGGTCAGGTCTATATGCCCAGTAACTTAGTATGACTCCTGATTTCAACATTGGTTGGTTTCCAGGTTTTTCATGGGGAATGGAGACTGAATGGGCATCTTTTTGTGGCACAACTACTATGATGCACTTTTATGATGGAAAACCTCCTGAAGACTTTTTCAGAGAAGTTTAACCTTTTCCACTCGAATGGGCGAGTATACTCGCCCTTTGGTACGCTGACTCTTGCAAAAATTCAAGTGGAAAACGTTAAGCCATTCATGAATCTCATTAATTTTGGTGGGTTTCTTCTATCTATAATAGGTAATCCTTTCAATTCTTCAAAATTTCTCTAACAGGATTGTCAACCTTTTTGGACTTTCTGCGTGACCTTGGAGAATGAAGTTGGCTGAAAGAATGACAGGTGATATATGCTTTCTTCAGGAAAGAGATTCTACTAGAGTTCATTTCAGGACCAAAGGAAGAAGGGAAAAAATACATGTTGAACTGAACTCCAGTAAGTGCTGTAAAATTAACTATTTTTTCTCATTCTAAGCCAGCATCATGATCAGAATAGAGGCATAGGAACAGCTAAAAAGAATTAATACTGATATCAACTAATTGATGTATTTTCCATATTCCAGTATGTTTATGGAGACTTTGTAGATCTTATGGAAAGCAAAAAATGCTATCATGCCTGGTGTTCATTGAGAGCCTTTAGGGTTATACTTTTTCTTAGAAGTGCAATATGAAGTCAGAAAAGGTGCATTTTAAACAGTGGCTATTAGTCAAATGTAGACTCTCACAAAGACTTCAATTTCGTTTCAAATCTTAGTCAAGCTGGCTTCTAGTTTTCTCTTAACACCAAGGCACATGCCAACTCAACTATCTCTGAAAAGGGGAATTTAATTTTTTAATTTTGCATGGCATGTCTCTCAGTATTCCCTGCAAAGGTTCAAATTGAACCAGTATGAGGAACATTTTGTTTAAGAACACCCATACAAAGATTGCTGCCAGAAGACAGGTGAGGAGATCAGGAGGAAAATATGCAAGGATCATAATTGAAGACAGAAACTTGAACCAGTTCTATGCTAAAACTGAACTAAACCTTTTTTAAATATAATTTATTTGACTTCCTATTTATTTTCTCAGTGCTCCCTAATAATTTCTTTGCATATATGCTAATTTCACAATTTTGCATCAGCAGGACCAGAGGGGAAAGAATAAACCCAGAAGACAAATTCATGATTGATGGGATTTATCAGCATAGGAGTGAGAGGATTCCCATCCCCACATCACGAGAGGGGGAAGTTTCCCCTATGAAAATGAGGAATTGGAGTAAGGAAACATCAATCCATATAACTGACATGAAGTTTTTTTCACCTCTACTGCATTTGATGAAAAACCACTGGAGGTGATTTTTCCTGAAAGGGACTTATTATGTGCATGGTGATACTCGATATGAAATGGCAAAGTGAAACAATTAATTGTAATTTCAATATCATGCTTACAAGAAGATAATGTGTTGAAGCATAACTCTTGTGAATGAATATTAAAAATCACATTTAAAGCATAATAAGCCACTACTTTGCTACTATTTTTTTTTATTCAGTGTGTTCTAAAGTAGAATTGCATTTTTTGTGTGTGGGGAAAAATCTTTGGCAGAGTTATGACTCAGAGTCATGATTTTTCTGCAAAACATAACTTGCTGCAAGTTATGTTTAATATGAGGAAAATTCATGTTTTGCTTGTTATCAAGCTATAATTTTTCTATGGAATTGGCTAATTTTGATGCATGGTTCAAAGACATATATATTTTCTGATGCATACATTTCAAAAGCTCTGATATTTGGACTAATATCTGGCATTGATATCATTTGTTTTGTAAGTGCTGCATCAGAATGTTAATAGGACTAGAGGTATGGCTGAGGCTCGACTATTGTGACATTTTTTGTAAGGCCCAAATCTGGCTGCCACAAAAGCATTCCTAGGGCCAACCCTAGGAATGCTTTTTCTAATGGGCCATATACAGCCAAAGTATGGAATCTTGCTAGACCCAGGAATATGGCCATAGCGAACGACCATTGTGACATTTCTCGTACAGCCCAAATCTGGCTGCTGCATTGGGCCCGTGTAATTTTGCCATGCACGTGCCTTACTTGGCCCATTTGTGGTTGGCTACCTGGGTTGCTTCTTGCAACACAACTGCACCAAAATCAAACCTCTTCCCTTCTGCCACACATCATTCTGGTTCAACATCAGAATACAAGAGGCATGCAAGGCTTGTCAAAATAGGTGATGGGGTTAAAAGACAGAGAAACTGCCACTCATTCATGCTCTTTACATTTGATTTATCTTCTTACACTCCCATGACTCATACATTCACTGTTATTAATATTTTGCAACTTGGGTGTGGAGAGCAGGGGCACATTCACCCTCATTTGAAAGGTATTTGATTACTCTGTGTTTAAACTGAAACTGTTTAGTTCCCTCCATAGGTGCTGCTACTCCATTGCCATCCATTTGCCAGTTCATGGAACGACTACACTTTGTAAATCCCAAATGGTTTCACACTTTGTCCTCTTATAGAATTCTAACAATAACAGCTGCCATCAACCTTGAGTACATCCCTTGTATTAAGAAAGTGAAGTTGAGTCATATTGGTGTGAGTTCAAGACACTCTAACCTCTACTTTTCAGTTCAACGCTTGAGCATTGCTCTTCGGTCCCATCATATTATGATTCAAATTTAGACAGTTGTCATCAACACTGATGTAGTTCCAGCAAAAATAATTTCAAGAGATTCAAAATAAGTACATTCAGTTGGAAAGCAATTGCAACCATGTCACGTTACAGCTGCAGTTAGCACTAATGGAAAAGTGAGCAATCCAATACCATCTGGAGTAATTGGTTATTGAATTGTCATTGAAAATGTTTCACTTTATGAAAGGTTAACTCACTAAGAGAGAATAACTCACCATCAAACCTTGAAGGTTTGATGGTGAGTTACTCTCTCTTCTATGGCAGCTGCAATGAAATATACAATATTTTACATCTGTTACAGACACTTCTATGGTATTTACCACTTGTATTTTAGTCTGAGTGAATGCAAATTGTTTTATGCATGACCAGAGAGATTTCATTTCAAATAAAATGCAAAAAACTGAAATTGGCATTTAATTTACACTTTATCGCCAAAAGAGTAAGTATTCATTTTTCCTCTCGGCTTAAAATCATTCACAACTGACAAAAACAAACAAGCTAACAAGCAGACAACTAACAAAAACAATTGCGCAGATGCCAAACATGAAAGCCCACTAGTTGGTTTAGGATGTCCATTTCAACTGAAAAGATGCTCATTGTGCCTTCCATTCTGTCGAACAGAAGCCTCTAGTCTCGGACACCACAGATCCACGGCTGGGTCAATAAACCTTTGAGGCAGTGCCTCCCAATCTTCCTTTGTACCATCAAGTAGGGATGGAAGTTCCATGAATTTGGACCTCCCTTTCATCCCAGCCTTAAGTTCATGTTGATGTTTTTCAACGGCACATTTTGTCGTCGGTTGTTAGAAAATGATTGCAGCTCTCATGATTTTATGGTCAGATAGCTTAAATTTTGTATACAAACTCCAATTGTGTCACCATATAAGTCTTCCAATTTTAATAAAAATCGGCAGCCTACAAAGAGATTGAAGACTCACCAAAATTGACAACTTTATTTTTTATGGCCCACCCTGTATATTTAGGACGGCATACGTGAATGCATGGAAAATTTTTCTTCTGGTTTGTGTATCGGTCACGTTATTCAGAGTTATCTGACCAAGTATTAATGATGATACCAGGCATTTAAATTCTGGGAAGATAATTCTGAATAACACAACTGAAACCATTATAGAATTTTTCATTGCATCTCTGCATGTTATCCTACATAGCGAATGCCAGGCATTACTGTGTAAAAATTTAATGACTTGGGATGCATGATCAATATTGGCTTTTGGGTCTCGAGGAATCAAAGCATGGTGTTGTACATAAGAAAATTAGAGTAGTACTGTTTATTTCTAGAAAGTATCTATATTTTCCCTCAGATAACGGGAATCCAACTCGGTGCACTTGTTATATTCGACACCCCAGAACCTCTATGGCTGTTTTCAAGAGTAAAAGTTTCTGGCATACCTTTCAATTCCTCTGCTCTAATCTTCAAATGAATTAGAATGATTGAAGTTATTAAAATGGTCAAGAGCAATTAATTGCACGTTCTGACAGGAGCTTTTCAAAGCTCCACTCTGTACGTGATTCAGATTGCTTGATGTATCCGGCATCACTTTAGACCTTCCTAGTTTAAGACAGCTGAGAACATGTGAAATGTGAAAAGCCATTTACTACACAGTTTTTGGTTACTTCTTGAACCTGCTTTCAGACCTCCATGCTATATTTACCATATACTTTCATTTCCTAATGTTCATGGCCTTGGAATATTTTTCTGAGCTGCATTTATAGCCATCTCTCATTTTACAGGTAGACCTTGGCCATGGAGTGCAAGTGGGAAAAATGGCATATGACTCCATCAAGCACTCACCAAAGGACACAATCTTTGTGCATGATCTAGCTAGTTGCAATATGGGGGACAGACACCCTGATGGAGGATTCTGCTACTGGAAAGGGCTACCCAGCTGTGAAGAATCAAGTTTGACAAATCCCCCAAAGCCCGGAAGTTTGCTGTTTTAAGATGTATGCATTATGCATAATCATTTTATGGACATGAAATTTTACTGCAATTATGAGTCTTCTCTATTTCCTATCTACATCAGTATGCTGAAAGACTCAGACAAATGGGGTTGGAGGGGAAATTTCTAGAGAGGGAACGCACCACCAAACTTAAAAGAATGCTCTCAAACAAAACTGATGACTGGAAGAGAAGCAGAGCCCAAGTCCGATGCCAAGAATGGAAAATGTGCAATGATTCCTTTGTAATTTTTAAAAATGAATTTAATTTATTTTTCTGTACAGAAATACAGGATGGGCAACAACAACAAAAAAACAAAGGTATCTCGTTTGGTAAGTTGTCAATCTGATTTTAGGCTGCTGATGAAATTTCATAGGCACATGGGGTGACTCAATGCTTGTATGCCAAATTTCAAATAAGAATTTAACAATCTGTGAGATTTACATTTAATTTACTTTTCATTGCCAGAAAAAGTAAGCATTCATTTCTTTCAGCTTAAAAAAGTTCACAACTGACGAAAACAAGCAGAACAAGAAATAAATGGCAAGTACGAAACCACACAATTTGGTTTCAGGAAGTTCATTTCAAATGAAAAGGTGCCAAATGTGCTCTCTATTCAGTTGAACACAAGCCCATTGTATGGGACATCACAGATCAATGGTTCGGTCAGGCAGTCCCTCCCAATCTTCCTTTGCAGCATCATGTAGGTATGGAAGTTCATGAATTTGGTCCTCCCTTTCATCCCAATCCCAAGTTCATATGGATATTTTAAATTGCACATTTTGTTATTGGTCATTGGAAAATAATTACAGCTCCTATAAATTTACAGCTAGATGGCTGAAATTTGGCATACTAACTCCAATTGTGTTACCCTATAAGCCTGGCAATTTTAATCTGAATCAGCCGCCTACAACGAAGAGATTGACAACTTAACAAAAATGACAGCTTTGCTTTATTTCTTGGCCCAACCTGTATATGCTTTCTGTTGATAATTAACATTGTCATTTTGAGACGTTTCATGCTGTTTTATGTCCTCTATGAGAGATCCAGCTAGACAAAGCAGGAAACCTTGAAAGATACAGTATGAAACACTAACTGGATCCTGCTAGTAAATTCCAGCAGGAAACAGCATACATATTTACATTCTGAATTCTAAATGATTCTGCCTGATTTTTAGCTGTCAGAGGAATTTTTTTCAACTTGATACCAAATTATTGGAATGGTCTTGGAATATGAATACTATGTGGCAAAAATGCTCTAATTTATTTATTCTCGATGAGAAAAAGATATCAAAGTAATTAACATACTTTTAACATGAAAAAATCTTAACTGACCTTTCCAAATGAGGAATCCAGCATCCAAGTAAATAAGACTTCACAGTCTTGCAGGCTGCTTTCGAACAGCGAATTGAAATCCTGTAGGAGAGTTCAGCTTGCGGGTATCTTCTGACTTGAACTGGTCACTATCAAAGATGGAACAAGACTAGTGATCTGACCTATACATGACCAGATATCCCCCCGCCCCTTTTCTTTTGAGATGCTAAGGGCAATGACCCGATGTTCGGAGAAAAAACTCAGGTGGCCGAACAATGAAAGCCAATAAATAGTTGAGGCTTCAGGGTGGGAGGAAGATGCAAAGATTAAAGGACAAAAATAAATAAGGCAGGGATCCATCAAAAAGTGCAAAAGGGGAAGAGACATTTTTATTGCTCCTACAAATGCTTTAAGCAAAGACGTTCGTAGTCGGACAGGACGTTCCATTCTACGCCCAACCTAGAAGTCAGAAGAGGAACACAATTAGCCTCCATGAAGAATACACAGGAGGGGGAAAAAAATATCCCACCCACGCTTTGTTACCATCAGGAAGGAGAGGCTCAATTGTTCCTCAAGAAGAAGTGGTGGTTTGCTCGGAGCGAGATCTGGAGGAAGCGGGCGTGGAAGGGGAGTGTGGAGGGCCGGAGGTAGATGGCGCGGGGATGGCGTAAGAAGAGAGATCAGCTGGCTAGCTGGCGGAAGTGTGGCGTTGCAACCGCTGCTGTGTCCACATTGGACTTAAAAAAAAAAAAAAAACTTGATGAGGGGAAGGGGATGGATATGGGGATGGAGGGGAGGGAGGGATGGTTGCTGGGAAGCCGGCTTCAGGGAGAGGGTGGGGAATCGGTGCAAGAAGTGGTAGTGCTGTGATGTAAATGGGATGGGAGGAAGAAAGGGTTGGAGCGGGAATCCGTGCAAGCCGGTGACATGGCGAAGGGTTTTTTTCTATTGGAAGGAAACTGGTGTGAGGAATGATATATATGTATTTTTTTTTTTTTCCAGATGAATTAGATCCGCCCGATGAAGACGAATTCTGAAATCCTGCTTGGGATGGGTGCGTGGGAAGAAAGAAAGGGTTGGAGCGGGAATCCGTGGAAGACGGTGACATGGCGAAAAGGTTTTTTTTTTTTTCTCGTAAGGAAAAAAGAAACCCTCGTGTGAGGAATGAGGTCAGGTGTGAGGAAGAAAGGAAGGAAGAATGATGTATATATATATATATTTTTTTTTTCCAGATAAATTAGATCCGCTCGAATTCTGAAATCCTCCTTTGGGGATGGGTGCGTGGGAAGAAGAAAGGGTTGGAGCGGGAATCCGTGCAAGCGGGTGACATGGCGAAAGGTTCTTTTTTCTCTCTCTATTGCAAGTAGGAAAAGAAACACTCGTGTGAGGAAGGAAGAATGATGTACATATATATATATTTTTTTCCAGGTATTAGATCCGCGCGCGATGAATGAATTCTACAAATCCTCCTTGGGATGGGTGCGTGGGAAAAAAAAAAGGGTTGGAGTGGAGGCGGGCATGGGAATCCGTGCAAGCCGGTGACATGGCGAAAAGGGAAAAGGTGTGTGTGTGTGTGTGTGTGTGTGTGTGTGTGTCCCCAATCAAGTAAACGACAAAATAAAAATGAAACGCAAGGCAAGTGTGGGCGTTTTTTCTTTCCTTACTTATTCCTGGGCAAGGTCTCCGGAAGTACGGGAAAGGATGGAATGGGAAAGAAATTTTTTATTTTTTTTTTATATTCGATTTCCTGTCTCCCACGCGCGCGGGCCCGCCCCGATCAAGGATCTCATGATGAATCACAAGTAATGAATCACACGGATGCGAATCGCACGCGCAGCCGCATCATCGTTCATCACGTTCATCATCATCAGATTCGTGGGAACCATGGTGAGAAAAAGAAAAAGAAAAAAAAACCTTAGTCAGAAGTGTCCCCGGTTCTCTCTCCATCTCGAAAAATAGAGAATGAACGGATTAAAAAAAAAAAAAGAATTTTATATCAGAGAGAGGGGAATGCTAGAAGCGTGGGAACGACGGGGGGGGGGGGGGCAGCCGACGCCAGAGAGACTAGACTAGAGAGAGTGCCCCTGCCGCCCTCTTGGCCTTGGCCAGGAAAGGGGAATGAAAAAAAGAAAGGAAAGAACTAGAGAGAGATGCCTCCACCACGTCCATGGAGTCGCATGTGGTATCAAAAATTGGCTCAAATTTTTGAATCGCTTCAGAGACGTTTGATCGTGAAAAAAAAAAAAATTAAACCATCCACAACATTCCAAAGCTGAAACATGAAAAAATGTTCATCTTTATGTAAAAAAAAATAAAAAAATATTTCTTCCCTGGGGTCAAAAACCCATCGCCCTCCATACAAGGAAAAAAAAAATTATTTTTTTTTTTTTTTTTACCTTTCACCTAACACGTCTTAACCTAGCTCGCCTTAACCTAACTCGCATTAACCTAACTCGCATTAACCTAACTCGCATTAACCTAACTCGCATTAACCTAACACGCATTAACCTAACACGCATTAACCTAACTCGCCTTATCCTAACTCGCATTAACCTAACTCCCATTAACCTAACTCCCATTAAGCGAAATCGTATTCGCCCATCTGAAAAACAGACTGAGGCGTGTTTTCCACAAAATATCTACAAGTTACAAGCACAGAGTAGTAGTGTTCGTCTTCACACACACACACACACACACACACGGATAACTGCAAGACCGTTACATTTTACTGCTACGCAAGATGCATCATAAAAAAATTTTTTTTTTTATTTAATCAAGGATTCCTAATTGCCCTCAGGTGTTCGTTTCAATTTCAAACGATCATCATTAATTTCTCAATCGGAATAATCTCCTCAATCGTGGATCCTTGGGAATATATATCGCTCTTTTCTTTATTTTGCACACGCCACAGGCATCAGTCTTCCAAAACATGCACCAACATGCAGCACGCAATACTCCAAAAAGGGAGAGAGGAGCGGAGAAGAATGGAAATGAAAAAAAATTGATCATGGGGGGGGGGGAGAAAAACCCACGCCTTAGAATCTAGACCCACATGCCACCATGTGGCCTGGAAACGCGATGAAGGGCAAAGTAAAGGAAAAAAAAATGGATAAGGCAGGAACCGTCATGTTGCGGTCTGTGCTCAACTGGACTGCATCTCACTGGTACAGGACGATTGGGGAAAATGCTGGAAAAATGGAACGATTACATTCATCACCACGCCCATTGTAAAAAAAAAAAGGAACGTGAACGCACGCGTGTGTGGTGTGTGTGTGTGTGTGTGTGTGTATGGTCCACGAAGTGAGGAGAAAAGGCAGCAGTGCCTCCTACAAAAGAGCCACAACACCAGGTTGATACCATTTCCCTCCAGATGGACTTCACGAAAAATCGCTCATATGCCAACCGCTCATATGTCTTTATGGATCGGTACCAGTCGGAGGTCCGCGTGACGTCATTCAGACGAGAAGAAGCTCACGTTTCCTGGAGGAATCCAAACCACCCCATTACCACTCTTTCTGGGGAAGCGACCTCGTCCCGACTCGTAGGAATTACCACGAAAACCATGCGTTTCTCGCAAAAAGTCGTCCAGGAACGAATCGAAGAGGACAGTCTCTCCGATCGATCGGTACCCCTCGGAGGTCCGTGTGACGTCATACGGAGGAGATAAAGCTCACGTAACAGGTGAATTCGAACCTCGCCATTCTCTCTTCATGGGGACGCCACCTCGTCATGCCCCGTGGGGATTTACCGGAAAACCATGCGTTTCTCGCAAAAAGTCGTCCTGGTACAAATCGAAGAGGGCAGTTTCCCCGATCGATCGGTACCCGTCGGAGGTCCGTGTGACGTCATACCGACGAGATAAAGCTCACGTAACAGATGTATCCGAACCTCGCCCTTCTCTCTACATGGGTACGCGACCTCGTCCCGTCCCGTGGGAATTTACGGGAAACCCATGCGTTTCTAGCCAAAAGTCGTTCAGGTACGAATGGAAGAGGACAGTCTCCCCGATCGATCGGTACCCCTCGGAGGTCCGTGTGACGTCATACGGACGAGATAAGGCTCACGTAACAGATGAATCCGACCCTCGCCATTCTCTCTTTCTCTTTATCTGGGAACTCGACCTCGTCCCGTCCCGTGGGAATTTACGGGAAAGCCATGCGTTTCTCGCCCAAAGTCGTCCAGGTACAAATCGAAGAGGGCATTCTCCCCGATCGATCGGTACCCGTCGGATGTCCGTGTGACGTCATACGGACGAGATGAACCTCACGTTGTAGATGTATCCGAACCTCGGCATTCTCTCTCTCTCTTTATCTGGGGACTCGACCTCGTCACGCCCCGTGGGGATTTACGGCAAAACCATGCGCTTCTTCCTAAAAGTCGTCTAGGAACGAATCGAAGAGGACACTCGCCCCGATCGATCGGTACCCGTCCCAGGTCCATGTGACGTCATACGGACGAGATAAAGCTCACGTAAGAGATGTATCCGAACCTCGCGATTCGCTTCCTCTCTGGGGACTCGACCTCGTCACGCCCCGTGGGGATTTACGGGAAAACCATGCGTTTCTCGCAAAAAGACGTGGAGGTACAAATCGAAGAAGACAGTCGCCCAGATCGATCGGTACCCTTCGGAGGTCCGTGTGACGTCATACGGACGAGAAAAAGCTCACGTAACAGATGAATCCGAACCTCGCCATTCTCTCTTCATGGGGACGCCACTTCGTCCCGCCCCGTGGGGATTTACGGGAAAACCATGTGCTTCAAGCAAAAAGCACCGATCGATCGCTACCCCGCGGAGGTCCGTGTGACGTCATACGGAGGAAATAAAGGTCACGTAAGAGATGTATCCGAACCTCGCGATTCGCTTCCTCTCTGGGGACTCGACCTCGTCACGCCCCGTGGGGATTTACGCAAAACCATGCGCTTCTTCCTAAAAGTCGTCTAGGAACGAATCGAAGAGGACACTCGCCCCGATCGATCGGTACCCGTACCAGGTCCATGTGACGTCATACGGACGAGATAAAGCTCACGTAAGAGATGTATCCGAACCTCGCGATTCGCTTCCTCTCTGGGGACTCGACCTCGTCACGCCCCGTGGGGATTTACGGGAAAACCATGCGTTTCTNCGATGAAGGGCAAAGTAAAGGAAAAAAAAATGGATAAGGCAGGAACCGTCATGTTGCGGTCTGTGCTCAACTGGACTGCATCTCACTGGTACAGGACGATTGGGGAAAATGCTGGAAAAATGGAACGATTACATTCATCACCACGCCCATTGTAAAAAAAAAAAAAGGAACGTGAACGCACGCGTGTGTGGTGTGTGTATGGTCCACGAAGTGAGGAGAAAAGGCAGCAGTGCCTCCTACAAAAGAGCCACAACACCAGGTTGATACCATTTCCCTCCAGATGGACTTCACGAAAAATCGCTCATATGCCAACCGCTCATATGCCTTTATGGATCGGTACCAGTCGGAGGTCCGCGTGACGTCATTCAGACGAGAAGAAGCTCACGTTTCCTGGAGGAATCCAAACCACCCCATTACCACTCTTTCTGGGGAAGCGACCTCGTCCCGACTCGACTCGTAGGAATTACCACGAAAACCATGCGTTTCTCGCCAAAAGTCGTCCAGGAACGAATGGAAGAGGAAAGTCTCCCCGATCGATCCGTACC